CTTCATTATATACTGTGAATTCAGACAATTTGTTTTTTAATTTGTCAAATATATTACTCTTGTTTGTATCATCTTCATTATTTTCTTCTTTAGAAGCAGTGTCTGTTTTTTTCCCTTCTTCTTTTTCTTTCAACTCTTTTTCATGCTGTAGTCTTTCCTTTTCATCATCCTCATCTTCATAAAACTCTTGAATTATATTAGTGAATTTTCCTAGACTTGCTTGGAAAAAGCCTGTGTTATGTTGTTCAGGTTCTTTTTGGTTAATATTATTTGATTTGTTATTATTGGTTGCTTGATTAGCTTCATTTTTCTTTGTATTGATTTCTTCTGTTTCTGTAGAATTATGGTGAGCTAAAGCTAATAATTCATCTGTAGTAGCTTTCAATTTAGATGTCCATCTATTGAAGACTTCACTAGCACTATGTTCTCCATGATTATTTCCATTGGAATTATTGTTTCCTTGTGTTGCAGTTGATGAATTTTTTGAATTCAAAATGTTGTTACTACTACTATTATTGTTACCTGTTTGTCCATTCATAACATTTTGACAATATTGTTCCCATTCTTTTAATTTTCTTTCAGCTTCTGTTAATTGTAATTGCAATTCAGAGACTAATCTTTGTCTTTTAGCTAATTCCAAGAATAAACTTTCCATATCATTACTAGTATTAGCTGGTTTAAATTCTAGCTTATTGCTACTGACAGATGTTCTAGGTTTAGCTTGTTCATTATTACTATTATTAACAATAGTACTTGAAACACTTGCAACTTCATCAGATCTAACACCTTCATTTTCTTGTTCTAAAATCTCGTCAAAATCTCTATTAATAGCATTAGTAGCAATATTGAATCTCATTGATTTCTTTGGTGAAAGACTAGGTTTTCTTCCAGAACCTTCTGTTTTACTATTAGTTCTTGTTCTTGGTGTGGTGGCAGATGATTTTTTGTTTGATAGTTTCAATGATATTAATCCATCTGCTAAAGAATCATCAGATCCATTCTTTGAAGGTGTATTAAATTCAGTATCTGACATTAATTTGTTTTAGTTAAAGTAAATAGTATATATAAATGTTTTTTTTTGTTTGTTGGGTAGATATTTTGATATGTGTTGATTTTTTTTTGATCTAAGAAGTTTCGATGATAATTTTTTTTTTGTTGAATAAGAAAAATAAATATATCATTATCAGATCAATATTCCCACCCAAATTGTTACGCGCCAAAGAGAGAAAAAAAAAAAAAAAAAAATCTTTTTACAATATTTTTTTTTTCTCTCCCAACTTCACTTAACTGTTCTGTTCCCTTAAAATTTCCATTTTGGCAAAGGGAATAAAATTTTTTTTTTAAACTGTTAAGAACGCGTATTTTTTTTTTATATAAAAAATAAACATGCATTGTTTATACTTTTAATTAATTAAAAATATTAATGTTTCGTTAATTCATCTCTCTTTTCATAATACATGTTTTTTTTTATCTTTTTTTTTTTTTTTTTTTGTCATGTTCGAATAAATACATAAAAAAATAAATATCATTAAAAATATAATATAATCATTACTTTTGAATCTTGGCAACCAATTCCTTAAACTTATCAGTGGAGAAGGATTTTGGTCTTTCAATAGCCAAACCATAGGCTCTGTCTAAAATCAGTTGGGATAATACACCGAAAGCTCTGGAAATACCAAATAATACTGTGTAGAATGGGGCTTCTGTTAAACCATAGTATTGCAATAAGACACCTGAGTGAGAGTCTACATTTGGCCATGGATTCTTTGTCTTACCTTGTTTAGTTAAGACTTCTGGAGCGATTTGATAGATAGCAGAGACTAGCTTGAACAAATCATAGTCTGGGAAATGCTTCAAAGCAAATTCTCTTTGGGCTGTGTATCTTGGATCAGTCTTTCTTAAAACAGCATGTCCATAACCTGGAATGACTCTACCTGAATTCAAAGTATCCCACAAGTATTTTTCAATAGATTCCTTAGAGTAATCACCTTTGACAGCATCTCTGAATTTGAATAACCATTCTAGAACTTCTTGATTAGCTCTTCCATGTAAAGGACCAGCTAAACCGTTCATACCAGCGGCAAAGGATAAATATGGGGAGGACAAAGCAGAACCGACTAAATGAGTAGCGTGAGCAGAAACATTACCACCTTCATGATCAGCATGAATAGTCAAATATAGTCTCATTAATTCATTAAACTCTTCATTGTTTTCAAAACCTAACAAATGAGCTAAGTTTTTACCATAATCAGCATTCAAATCAGCTTTCAAATGGTTTAATTTACCATCATGGAAAACATTAGAGTATATTCTAGCACCAATAGCTGGCAATTTACCTAAAAGATCTAAGCAATCTTCATAGGCATGGTCCCAGTATTCTTTTTTGTTAACACCTGCAGCATAAGCTTTAGAGAATTTAGAATCACTTTCCAAGGAGACAACAGCAATGGAAAATTGAGCCATTGGATGTAAATCCTTTGGTAAAGCGTCTAAAAGATCAATGGTATGTTGTGGTAATTCACTTCTTGCAGCTAATTCCTTAGATAAAAGCTTGGTTTGTTCCATACTTGGCTTTTCACCTGTTAATAGTAACCATAGTAAAGATTCTGGACATGGAGAACCGGCACCAAATTTAGGTAATTGTTCAGTGACTTCTGGAATAGTTAATCCTCTAAATCTGATACCTTCAACTGGATCTAGAACAGAACCTTCCCAAACTAAAGATTTGATACCTCTCATACCACCATAGGCTTGAGATAGTTTGACTTGATCAATAACAACGTCACCATATTCTTTTTTGAATTGTTTGATAGAAGCAGCTTTTGCTGGATATATTTCCTTAAAAGTTTCTTTTAAACTTTTAGCTTGTAAAAGATTATTGTTTTTAGAGAATAATCTAGTTTGTTGTTTCAAAATAGAAACTGAAGATTTTTTAACGGCTTGAGTAGAACTTAACATTTTTATTTAAATAAAAAAAAAAATAGTAACCTATATGATAATAAATAATATTGCTGAATAAATAATATTGATGAATAAATAAAAAGGGAAAAAGTATAGATAAGGAAACTTTTCTGTTTGTTATTATTTTTTTTTTTTAAATATGTATAAATTTGTAATGGTTTATATTTATGATTTTTTTAAACATCAATAATATAATAAGAAGATAATTTGATCAAACTGTTATAATATATATATTCTTCTATTTAACTGATGTTGTAAGAAATTTATAAAAAAAAATAATAAATTAAAATATCCACATACAACTCTGATTTATATATCATACATGAATAATTATGATATTTTTTTCGCCTAAAGATTTTTTAATTATTATTTTTTTTTGGTACAAAAATACTATTCGCTGTTTGAATTCCTTTGGAATAAATTTCAAAGGGGCGCTAGAAAACAAACAAACAAACTGGAGAAAAAAAAAAAAAAGTCATTCATTTATCAAAAATCAGCCGCACGTAATGATTCAGTGTTGCGAATACCGCAAATGATCATGTGAAAAAGTGTGACCAAAAACCACAGTTTTTTTTTTTAAACGATTATCCTTGGATAGAGCCTTTTTTTTTTATTAAAAAAAAAACAACCGGAATTGCTAATTTTAAAATAAAAATAGAGTAAACAAAAAAAAAAAAATTACATATTAGGAATATCAAAGTTTATATATATGTTTATTTTATCCTGTCATTTTTTTTTCTTTATTTTAAAATGATATGCTGAAATTATTCATTTTAAAGTTTTTTTTAGATGATGAATCAATATGGTTGCGCTTATTAAAATGTTGTTTCAAATATTTTTTGTTGATTTCTGTACCTTCAACATTTTGGAAAAGGTAATAAACAATTTTATTTGATTTATGTTCTTTTAATAATTTGAAATTTAAACCTTTCCCCATTATTTCATTCACTAATAATTCAGATGTCATAAATCTACTATTTTCAACACATGATAATGGTAAAACCAAAAAGACCAAACCATTTGGTAAACAAAATTGCTTTAATCTAATTAACATCTCACCCCTTTTGTATTCATCAGGAACAAAATTAACTACTAATGAACATGATATTAAATTAAATTTTTCTGTTTCATTTGATGGCAAATCTCTAAGAAGAAAATCTTGTTTGGCTATCTCTGGATGATTACTGTTCAGATCTATTCTTTCTATATTGTTTATGAACTTTCTGTATTTGTTCTTACTCAAGATGTTATCAATTCTTAAACAACCAATCTCTAAAGTGTTCATGCCAATAAAATGATTCTGTTTAAGTTCAGGAGCAGCCACAACATTATCATTTAGTTCTAAAATCCATTCCATCAGTTTCTTGGAAGAATCACCTCCTCTATTTGATTGCTGACCCATAATTGATGCTAGCTGATATCTCTGCAAACCACCATTGTCTATAATTTCTGTTGTTATAAATTTTAAGATTAATAAAAGCTCTTGGTCTTTAGATTTATCATTAAAATTGTATTTTTTCCTCAGTTGTAATAATTCATTTTCATAATCCAATTTTATATCATTGTTACCTTTGGATTTATTGAGTCTTTTTTGCAAATAACTTTGAACAAATTCATTAATCTCCAATTCATCATCTGTCTTAATCAAATCTATTTGTAATAATTTAAAAATGTATGCTCTGCATTTGATTAAAAAATGATATCTGTTTATAATCTTTTTAGTGTTCTTTGGTTTTATATTGATGGTATTTACAGTTTTATTATTCAAGTTTTTACCAGTTATTGTGGTTCTTTTATTACTTCTTAACAAACCCATTTGGAAAAAGAAAAAAAAAGAAAAAGAAAAAAAAAGAAAATGTACAAGTTAATTTCAAATAGTTATTGGTTTTTTTTAAAGAATAAAATGTACTTTTTTATTGGTTAATGTATTAAAAGAAAAAGACTATCTTTTCATTAATATATTTATTTATTAACCAAAAAAAAAAATTAGAAAAAAAAGCAATTTTCGCTTTTGTTAAAAAGAGCAAAAAATAGAATTTTACCTCATAAGGGGGTCGAACCCTTGACATTTTGATTAAGAGTCAAACGCTCTACCAACTGAGCTAACAAGGTGAGTAAATTCTATATGTTTTGTTAGTTTTTTGATTCTTACCAATCATAAATGATATAAATTACTAATTATATGGCAAAAAACTGTTTTCTTCTTTTTAGAATTAATATTTAATTAATAAAACTTAATTTAAAACTATAAATTCTGTAGATCCATAAAAAAGTGTCAAGTTTTCATTATGTTATTGTATTTATTTTAATAATTTATTATTGTAAATACACTGATAATTGAATCAATATAATTCATGTTATTTGATATATTACATCTATCTTTCTCCCCTTTGAAAAAACCTTATCTTTTAAAACAAATCCCTTTTTACCTTTTAACTAAAAAAAATAAAAAAAGTTTTTGAATTTAATAGTTATGTTTAATATTGCTATTATTTTAGATAAGGAAGGATTAACAAAAAACACTCAAAAATAACAATTATAATTGCCTTTGATGAGATCTAGTTTAAACACAGTAATGTAACAATGTCTAATGATTAATTTTGCTTTACCTTTTTATAATGTTTTATTTATTTTTTTGAATAAGGTTCTGGATTTGACACCAAATTTTCTTTCTTTTAAATATTTGATAAAACAAAATTAATAATTTAGTTTTCCGTTTTTATTTGAACTGAGGAAAAAAAAATAATAAATAAAAGATAGTGTTTCCCCGCATTTATTTATTTTTATTATTATTATTTTTCTTAAGGACTTTTAAAAAAAAAAAAAAAATGATATCAATAAACTATACCAAATATCAATATTTCTTTTAAAAAAAACACACAACACACTCTTTTAAATGGAAAACAATTCAAACATGAATTATGAGTTTTCAGATTTTACAATTCCCTTTTACACTAATTTGACTTCAATATTCAGTAGATCAATCTATACATTTGATTCTATGGAGTCAATGGCTTTATTCAAAGATAACAGAAACAAGATGGATAAACGAGCATCATTAAATAAACTTCCTAGTGGTCAAATACTTGGAGTTCCACTTTTCCAATGTCAATTAAAAAAAGATGCCAGCTATCTTATGAGTAGAGACCATAACAATCTTATCATTTACAAATACATAATATTACCTATTGATGAGAAGGATGAAAATAGACAAGTGCTAATGAATAAGTTTTTGAAAGATCGAGAATATAAACTTGTTTGTGAAAACATTTTTTACAATGTTTCTATTTACAAAATTGTTTACTCAGAGATTAAGAACAAAAAAGATTTTTTTTCTTTAGACAAGGAAAGAAAATATTGTTTAAAATTTAGAAATGATTCTATCACAATGCATTATTATGTACTTAATGACTCTGTCAGAGTTGAAAGTAGTTACTTTAATAATTCAAAATGGATTTACAATAATAACTTTAATAATGCTTTAATTAATGGAATATTTCTTAATAATAATTATAAATTAGTTCTCAATGATAATAGAATATTATGTGAGTTTGATGATTCCAATAGATCCAATAAATGGGTAACTTCAACTATAGATAAGCACATGGGGGTTTTAAGATTTTCAAATTATATAAAACCACCTGCATTTTCTCCTAATGGTATGCAAGTTTACCATGATAATGAATTTTTGAGTGATTTCAATGAAAAAATTATATGCATGACTTTTGTATTGATAACTCATCAAAAGTTTAACTATAAAAATAGTTTGACTCCTGGTGGTGTGTTTGTAATAAATAATAACACTTCATCTACAACCTCTAACAATACGTTTATTTTTTTATAAAAGAATAATGAGTTTAATTACAAGAAAATAATAATATATATGTATATAAAAAGATATAGCAATGGCAATAACTAAAAATTGTTTTAACTTTTAAATAATGTAATACTTAATTGTATAATAAAATAGATATAATTATAACAGTATATAAAACAGATTGATTAAATATAAATAAAAAAATGTTTATTATTATTTATTTTGTTTAATAATAAAAAAAATCGTAATATGATCATATCTTTAATATATGTTTCAGCCGTGCAAAAAAATATTTTACAAACGAAAAAAAAAATAATTAAAAAAAAAAAAAAAATGTGATGTGAAAAATTATTGTTATTATTAAAAGATGAAAATTTAAAATTTTTTAAAAAATTAACAAACGATATTGATGTTCTAACCAAAAATATTATATAAAAAAAAATGAGTGGCTATATTACTTTAAACAAACCTATTTCAGAAATTTCTAAAATCTTAAAAGACAAATATAATCATATAGAGGATACTTATGACAAAGAAGAGATCAAAAAGTTTGAATCACTGAGAAATTATATCAACAATACTGAAAAATATCCAGTTAAAGAAAAAGATGTTAAAAATTTTATTCAAAACAAAGATTTAAATAATATGGATCTTGAGGTTCTTGCTGATGTTGAAGTTTATTGGCTTTCTGACAAATGCTTGTATAGATATCTAAGAGCTTGTAAATGGGCACTGCATGATGCCAAAGAAAGATTGGTCTCGACTCTTGTTTGGAGAAGAGAGTTTGGTATTGTAAAATTGAAAGAGGAAGTAAAAGATGTGAAAGAAAGAGAAAAGTATCTTGGATTTGATGATATTTCTGAAGAAAATGAAACTGGGAAACAACTTCTTCTAGGATATGACAATGATTTAAGACCAATACTTTATTTAAAGCCAGGAAGACAAAACACTAAACCATCACAAATGCATATAAACCATTTAGTTTTTATGTTGGAAAGATGTATTGATCTTATGGATGAAAATTTACAAGAAAAGCTAACATTATTAATGGATTTTAAGAAAAAACATGATGATCTTACCGGTTTACCAAAGACCAAACCCTCAATGAGAATAAATATACAAACTATAAATATATTGCAAACTCATTATCCAGAGAGATTGGGGAAAGCTTTATTGTTTAACATGACTTGGGTTGCTAAAAGTGTGTTACAAATGTCACTTCCATTTATGGATCCGATGACTAAATCAAAAATTGTGTATGATGTTAAAGATGTGGAAAAGTATGTTCAAAGAAATCAGTTGGATAAGGAATATGGTGGTAGTATTTTATTCAAATATGAACATGATGAGTATTGGCCAGCCTTGAAACAAATTATTCTTGAAAAAAGAAGTAAAAGGTATAAAGATGTAAATTTGTAAGAATATATATATATAAGAAACAAAAGTTTTAAATTATTTGATATGATTTTTTTATTATTTAATTCAGTTTTAATAGTAAATTTTATGTTTACTTTTTTTACCCGAACATACAAAATTGTTAATTTTAAATAAAAAGATGAGATAACAAAAGTTGATAAAAACACATTAAGAATTTGAGATATGGATTAGATATTGTAGTTAGATGTTTATGAGAGTAGAATATATTGGTTGATCAAAGAGATGTATTAAAAAATAGTAGATAAACAGGATTTTAAATTTTTGGTTATATAAATAAAAAACATAAAATATTAAATTATATATTATATAGTGCGCGGAGCACTTTTCAAGGTTTTTTGCAGTGAAAAAAAATTTCGAGATGTTCAAAAAAAAACGAAAATTCAACTTTTTAAATTCATGTTTAACCATAAAAAACACTATTTCATAAATTGAATTTGTATAAATGGTGTATACAAAATACTTAGGTATTTTATTTATGATGATTATTGTGAAATGTTTGTTTTAGTAGCTTTTATGATTTTTGAGATAATTTATATTTTGTCTCGCATTAACGGGAAAAAATTGATGCTTTTTCACCCTTTTTTTTACATACTTTTGTTCTTGTCAAAAAATCTCTTTGAAAACTTTCGAAGTTTTTTAATTTACTTTGATTTTATGTATTATTGGCTATAAAGTAGAGCTGGTTTCTAAGCAATACCATTGTTTGTGTGTGTAATTATTATGGGTTTTAGAGATACCCTTTGTTGCTATTTTTTTCACTAAA